CTTGGAGAAAGCCAAATTGATTTTGAAATTATTCACTTCTCTACGGTCAAAACTTTGAAAAAAAAATGGAAATACTAAGAAAAGAAATTAAGTTCCCTTTGGCAGAAAGGGGAAGGCTCAAAATTTAAAACTAGAAGGGGATGTCCAAACTAAAGGGACTTCCAGAAGGTAAGTTATGTCGTTCTTATCTACTCTTAAGGACACTAGGCAGAAGAAAGGAAGGTAAACTCATGAAATGAATGATCACGCCCTTGAATATGCAGTACCTTTTCAAATTGTTGATAGTTGAGCCTGTAAGAAGGCACGGGAAAAAATATGATATATATTGATATTGTGTGTGATGCAATACAAGAGGTGCTATTTATAGCTACTCTATACAAAGGGGATACTACTCTTATTCCAATGTGAGACAATTACATAGCTATCTGTAACACTCCCCCTCAAGCCGGAGCATATAAATCATATGTACCGAGCTTGTTACATATATAATTAATGCGAGGACTAGTGAGGGACTTGGTGAAAATATCTGCAAGTTGATCATTCGATCTCACAAACTTCGTATTAATATCTCCTGAGAGTATCTTTTCTCTGACGAAGTGACAATCAATCTCAATGTGTTTAGAGCTCTCATGAAACACCAGATTTGATGCAATATGAAGTGCAGCTTGATTATCGCACACAAGTTCCATCCGACTGATTTCACCAAATTTCAACTCCTTGAGCAATTGTCTGGTCCAGACTAGTTCACATGTTGCCATAGCCATTGCTCGGTATTCTGCTTCTGCACTAGACCGAGCAACTACATTCTGTTTCTTACTTTTTCAGGACACCAAATTTCCTCCTACTAAAACACAATATCCAGACGAAGAACGTCTATCAGAAGGTGATCCTGCCCAATCAGCATCCGAGTACCCAACGATCTGCTCATGACCTCGATCGTCAAAGAGTAATCCTTTACCTGGAGCCGATTTTATATACCGGATAATGCGGACAACTGCATCCCAATGACTATCACAGGGAGAATTCATAAACTGACTTACAACACTCACAGGATAAGAAATGTCGGGCCTAGTCACTGTGAGATAATTTAATTTACCAACCAGCCGCCTATAGCTTGCAGGATCGCTAAGCGGCTCCCCCTGTCCAGGCAGAAGTTTAGAATTCGGATCCATCGGCGTGTCAACAGGTCTGCAACCTGTCATCCCTGTTTCCTCAAGAATGTCTAACACATATTTCCTTTGAGAAATAACAATACCTGAGCTAGATTGAGCAACCTCAATACCTAGAAAGTACTTCAATCTGCCTAGATCCTTAGTTTGAAAGTGCTGGAAGAGATGCTGCTTCAGATTAGTAATAGCATCCTGATCATTGCCCGCAATAGCAATATCATCAACATAGACTTGAAGCAGACTGCCGATAAAACACAAAGTGATCAGCTTCACTACGAGTCATGCCAAACTTCTGGATAACCGTGCTGAACTTACCAAACCAGGCTCGAGGAGACTGCTTTAGACCATAAAGTGACCGACGCAAGCGACATACAAGGCCACGAGACTCCCCCTGAGCAATAAAACCAGGTGGTTGCTCCATATAAACCTCATCCTCAAGATGGTTATCCTCAAGATCACCATGAAGAAAGACATTCTTAATGTCCAACTGATAGAGGGGTCAATGACGAACTGCAGCCATGGATAGAAAAAGGCGAACTGATGCCACTTTAGCCACTGGAGAGAAGGTATCACTGTAATCTAGCCCAAATATTTGAGTGTATCCTTTGGCAACAAGACGTGCCTTAAGTCGATCAATCTGGCCATCGGGACCAACTTTGACTGCATAAACCCAACGACAACCAACGGTAGATTTACCTGAAGGAAGAGGAACAAGCTCCCATGTACCACTTGTATGTAAAGCAGACATCTCGTCACTCATAGCCTGTCGCCATCCTGGATGAGACAATGCTTCACCTGTAGACTTAGGGATGGAAACCGAGGACAATGAAGATATAAAAGCATAATGGGGAGATGACAGACGATGATAACTCAAACCAACATAATGAGGATTAGGGTTTAGTGTGGTCCGTATACCTTTTCGAAGTGCAATCGGTGTACTAGGAGCAGGATCCGCAGTAGGAGCCGTGTCAGGTGCAGGACGAGAACCAGATGGGCCTGATGTAGGGCGCGAACGACGATGATAAGTCAAGAGTGGTGTTCCTGTGGCTGGGGAACTAGGAGGGATAACACTGGACTCCTCAAAAGTTGGTATGGGTGAAACCTCTGTGGTTGAAGGTGGAGGAGGATTACTAAACTCCTCAAAAGTCGGTATAGGTAAGACCTCAGATATGTCATGGTGGTCAGCAGAAGTGACATCAGTTGTGAAGAAAGGTTTAGACTCGAAAAATGTGACGTCAGCTGACATAAGGTACCTATGAAGATCAGGTGAATAACAACGATATCCCTTCTGAACACGAGAATAACCAAGGAAGACACACTTGAGAGCACGAGGAGCTAACTTATCTTTCCCCGGGGCTAAGTTATGAACAAAACATGTGCTCCCAAAAACCCGAGGTGGAAGAGGGTATAAGGCTGACTGGGGAAACAATATTGAATGTGGAATCTGACCCTTGATGGGAGATGAAGGCATCCTATTAATCAAATAACAAGCTGTGAGAACTGCATCGCCCCAAAAACGCAGCGGAACACGAGACTCAATTAGAAGTGTGCGAGCAGTCTCAATAAGGTGCCTATTCTTTCTTTCTGCAACCCCATTTTGCTGAGGGGTATAAGGACAAGATGTCTGATGAATAATTCCATGAGAAGACATAAACTGCTGAAACTGAGAAGATACATATTCTAAGGCATTATCACTGCGAAAAATGCGGATAGAGACACCAAATTGGTTTTTGATTTCAGCACAAAAACTCTGGAATATAGAGAATAACTCAGAACGATCTTTCATTAAGAAAAGTCAAGTACATCTTAAGTAATCATCAATAAAGCTAACAAAATAACGAAATCCAGAATGAACCAAGGAGAAAACAGACTCTGCATGACTCTCCAACACTACGCGTAAAGGAAGCTCGGGTATGTTTCCCAAGCTGACACGACTCACAATCTAATCTAGACAAACTGGATAAACTAGGCACCATCTTTTGAAGTTTGGATAAACTCGGATGTCCTAAACGTGGATTAGATCTGGAGAATCTGTAACTAGACATGTTGTGGAAGGACTGAGCGAGTTAAGGTAGTAAAGACCTTCTGATTCACGACTTGTACCAATTGTCCGTCCCGTACTGCGGTCCTGCATAATAAAAGAATCATCAATAAAATATATACCACAATTGAGGGCACGTGTCAAACGACTAACAGATGCAAGACTAAAAGGATAACCAGGAACATAAAGAACGGAATATAGGGTGATAGAAGACAATGGGTTGGCTTGTCCAACTCCTTGTGCCTTAGTTTGACATCCATTGGCTAAAGTAACAGTAGGAAGAGACTGTGAATATACAATATTCGACAAAAGTGATTTATTACCAGAGATATGATCAGAAGCGCCTGAGTCCANTGATCAGAAGCGCCCGAGTCCATGACCCATGGTCCAAGAGTACTAGACTGGGAAACACAAGCAAAAGAATTACTAGCAATAGGAGTATCAGTCTGGGCAACTGAGGCTACTCGTGGAGATGTTTGCTTACTTGCTCGATACTGAAGGAGCTCATTATATTCTTCTTTAGATACAGAAAAGCCCTGGTTACCTGCAGTCTCGCTCTGAGCAACGTAGGCATTTTTGGGTGGACGGCCATTTAAGGAATAACACATTTCGCGAGTGTGTTCAAGTTTGTGACAATAAGAACACTTGGGTCTAGATCTCCCAAAACANCACTGACCGAGACAAAGCAGACGCAAAACAACTTTGAAAGTCGCCGAAAAAAGGGTTCCGGTGACTGATTTTACTTCCCGGAATCGCTGGAATTTATGCACAGCGATAAATCTTTCACGATAGCTCTGATACCATGTGAGAAGGCACGGGAGAAAATATGATATATATTGATATTGTGTGTGATGCAATACAAGAGGTGCTATTTATAGCTACTCTATACAAAGGGGATACTACTCATATTCCAATGTGGGACAATTACATAGCTATCTCTAACAGAGCCTATGGATGCACCAATTTTTCAGCTAACCACTTTGCTTCCCATCAACTATGCTATGAAAATTTAACCAATATATCCACCATTATGTTTTCGGTGGCGTAATCACCACATCAAAGAGGATTAGGTTCATTTACATATACCAAAAACTATTTTCCTAACAAGGATTTGGGCGTTGAATTACATAGACCCAATTTTCCTCCTGCATACCTAGATAGGCTCATGAGGTCCAGTCACTAAGATCCCCCATACCTCAACTCTACCTATCAAAAGAAAGTTGTACTTAAAAATATCAATCATTTTCACAACTCCCATTGGGATTTGTAAAAAAGAGGTGACAAGCTTGCTTAGTGCAATATGCTCCTCAAAGGATAACGAAGACCCTTTCTAACTGTTCAACATCGCTTACAAATGCTACCAACATCAGTCCTTACAGGCAGTTAACCTACTTTTACCTCCTAGAGGCACCATTAAATAATAAAAATCCAGGTCAAAACAAAGCAATCAACTGTAGAAGCAGTGGTTTTATAACCAATGTGGATTCCCAAATAGGCAAGACTTTAAATATTAAGGGCCCGGGAGAAAATTAAAAAAAGGAACATGAATTACCTTAAAACTGTGGAAGGTGCTTTAATTGGTAGAAGGGGAAGGATTCCATCCATAGCAATTAATTAAATACTTCAGAACATTATATTATTCTAACATTCAGGTAAAGTTATCTACATTTTATAACTAAGCTCCTCTTATGGAATTGAAAGATCACATTTTCAAGGTTTGAAAAAAAAAAACGTATAAAGCTGAATCTCATACCAATATGGAGAGGTGCTTAACTACAGCTAGCTAATACCTTCTTCTGAAGCAGCTCTGATGGCATTTATATTGGCTGTCCCATTTATTTTATACATGTATGAGTTAGAGCCAAACCCACCAACGCAAGAAATCTGCAAAAACATTTTTGCCATCGCATAAGAGAGAAAACAGCCAGTGCTATTAACTTCTCATATAAATAACATAAGAAGAAGCTGAGAACATAGTAGCTGTTCAGAAAGAGCTTCATGAGAATCAGATTGAATTGGATCAGTAACTTTAAGGGAAAAACTATAGACAAATATCTCAAAACCTAAGAGGAGGGCAAACTTACTTTATCACTAAGTCTATTTAATTGAAGCTGTAGAAGAAAAGAAATAGATAAGACTATCCACCAGCACAGGTAAATTCAACTGTTTGTGAATATTGTGAAGCTCTATGAAGTAATGCCTATTCATTGTCAAACCACTAGAGATCCAACTTACTTTCCTTTGTTCACATGGTGAAAATTCCAATTTTGAAAGTAATAAGATAGCAGAGATGAGGACTAGACTGGCACCAATTATACACCTGCATTAATTGGTCTAATTATTTCTATCAGTGTGCCCAATAACCAGCACAAGAGACAAAACTCTCACTCTGGTACAACCAATCTGACCGACTGCCTATTTGCATAATATATTTAACTTCCTTGCGCCCTATTAAACAGAGATACAAGAGATAGTCCCTCCAAAATGTGGAGAATTGACTGTTCCTATGAATTAACGTGCACATAGCTAAGGAGAAGTTTCAATAAGAAAGAGAATCCATCAGCAACAGCCAACGGAATTATATCAGCATCGATGAGGACCTGTGCTGAAACCCCTCGTGTGACCTTCACTAAGAAGTTCTGTATAAACTAGGGTATAAAAGACACTATTGCATTCTGCAGATCATAATCAAATTAACTTTTGCACCAAACACAGGATCCAAAAAATCATTTGAATAAGGTTCAAGAACTCTCGGTCACATTAGCTGGACCACACAACAAGATGCATGTTGATATGAGCTCGGGAGGGCCAACTTCGAGTTAACTAAGACAGATCTACTCTAAACTACGATGTGCCTATTTTCTGCTTTTGATCATGTTTTAGAGGTTTTGATGGTTTTTGCTCTACGCTCTCTCTCTCTCTCTACGCGACCCTCTCTCATTCTCTGCCCCAACGGTCACTGACCGACCGGCGACCAACAGAGCCGCCGGCAACCACCCACCCCAGCAAGGTAAGCCCCTCTGTCTCACCTCTCTCCTCTCATCTCCCCCTCTCTCTCTCCCCCCACCCCTACCCTCTCCATTATTTCTTTCCTTTCTTTCCCCCTTTCCTCTTTTTCTTCTCCTCTCTTTGCTGGCGGTCTCGCCTGCACCCCTCCCTCATCTTTCTCACCTCTCATCTCTCTCTCTCTCCCCTCACCCCCCTCCTCCCTATTCTTTCTTTCCCCTTTCTTCTTTTTCTTCCCTTCTTACCACCAGCGGCCTCGCCGGCCGGTTTCATCTCCCTACCCTTGAATTTTGTCCCTCCCCCTCGTTCCCCAACCCTCTGTGTGTGTGAGTGCGTGTTTTTGTTTTGTTTGTGATGCGGCGCGTTTCCGGCCAGACGTGTACCGCGGGTGGTTACTCCCTTGAACCGGACTCATCCCACCGAGTTCTAAGCCACTTCAGACGTGACCAACAACCCCGGGCAGCTCTCCGGCAACCTCCACCGGATACATCACCTCCGACAACTATCATGACGTCATCCATAAACTAGGTTCTACGTTCTTGTTTTGTACATTCCTTTTTCTATATACTTTGTGAGACATGTTGTTTTGTTCCTAGTGTGTTCTTGTTTTGTTTGATGCATAAAAATTATTCATATATTTTTCATAGCTAATAATATATCTTTTATCATGAAATAAATAAATATTATGCTCAAAACTCATATTTTCTAACACGTATTGCAGGAAGAAGAATTAACATAGACGAAGACAAAATATGAAACTCTAGAGAAAAAATAATGGAATGAAGAAAATGGAAGAAATCTGTGGGACACGACAAAGAATCAAAAAAGAGAAGAAATGAAGTCATGGATTCATCTAGGCCGTAACTCAGGATCCATATGACTTACAATCCTATAAATACACTAGCAAGGTTAAGAGAAAATATCAAGTATTAAGGAGTAGGCATTGTTATCTTGGTCTCTCACTCTTTAACTTAAGTTTTCTTCTAGTCTTTTATTTTGCAAGTAAAAAATAATACTCTTTCAAGAGTTCGCCTTTCTTGTCTTTTTAAAATCAAATGCTTCTTTACGGAGTAATTTCTTTTTGTTGGGATAATCGATGAAGCTTGATATATTATTATAGTTTCATATGTGCTTGTCATGAAAATTCTATTTCAAATCTATTATGTACTAGAATGATAGATTGCAGTTATTATTGTCACATTCATCTATTTTATTTCTTAATTATTCTTGCATAAATTTTATAATTATCACGAAGCAAAATTGATAAATTATATAGTTATTTAATAAAATAGAGTGATAGTAATTTATAACTATCTATTGTTCCGAATCTTCAATCATACTTCTTTTAAATCTAATCCTCAAGGAGGAATTGACTCAAGCAAGGCGACTAATTCAAAAATCTTTATCTTATTTCTTTCAATTCTAATTCTCAAGAAGGGATTGACTCAATTAAGATTAATGATTAACTGAAAATAATCTCAAGAAGTTTTCACTAATTTTAGTACAATTCAGGCAAGAACATTATTTCAGTTTTTACCGTCACTAGCTATCAATTAATTAATATATATAACCTCATGGAGTGATATTAATTGATTGTTTTAGAGTGAGTAAATATAATTGTATTAGCAATAAGCAGTTATTCTTCGGCAAAATATATGTGAAACTGAATAGTTTTATAATAACATTATCAAGTGAATTCCATGATTCCCAACTCTTCCTAAATAAAAATCTTCCGGAAGTTGTTTGATATTGTTTAAGTAAATTTATAATTCTAAAATCCTACTCTCCTTTCACCAATTTGATTCTCTCAGATAGTAGCTAAAATACCAATAAATCTGCAGCATAGATCGTCCAATCTATGTGGGACGATATCATAAACTATTTGACAGTGTACGAGCCATAATTTTCTATACTCCAGAAGCTCGTCAAATTTTTTGGCGTCGTTGCCATGGAAAAGAAGAAGTGAGCTAAGGAAGATCAACTGGAAATGGAATTTTTGTCTGGCTTAAACTATGAAGATGGTTACTTTTGTTCCTTGCATTAAAGAGTGGACCCCTACGTTTATTTATAGGAAAAAGACAATCACTGAAGATCTTGAGAAGTACAGATGCATCGGGCCTTTTGCTAAATGCATCCTGAATTTTTCTTTATTATTTTGTTCTTTTCTTTTAAAAGAATTATTAGTTGTACTATATTGTGTCTGATGCCTTCAAAAAATGTAACTTGAACCATTCTTGTGACATTCTTTGGTTAAGTCAAATCACGAGAATTCAGGAGCACAGGTGCATCAAAATCGTTGTAATTTCCGAAGTTTATTATTGTTTCTAATATATTTATTTTCTATTGTTAGCGGAAACGTAAAAGAAAGAACACAAGATTTAACGTGGTTCGGATCAAAATAATCCTACGTCCACCAGAGAACAATTGCCCTTTTAATATTAACAAAGGAAGGGGAGATTTCCCAATTACACTTAAGAGAATTTCTCTCTTAACTCTCTACTCACTACAATGTATTGTATTATTTTGGGATGATTTCTACAAGTGAAGGAGTGCATCTATTTATAGAGGTAAAGACCTCCTCTTGATGTCATTGGTGACATCAAACTACCTCCTCTTGATGTCATGGGTGACATCAAAGGAGGAAGCTTCCTCCTAGCATCCACACCAACTCTTTCCACCAACTCTTCCAATTGGCATG